TAAACCTAAGCTTCGCAAACATTTCTATGTTCAGTCACGGGATATTCAACTCTTGTTTAATTAAACTTAATTAAAATGCAATTCTCCATTGTATTGCATTGTAATTGAGTTTAATTAAACTCCAATTAAAACGCAACCCTATATAGGAACGCGTTTTAATCGAGTTCATATCGCAACTATATTAAAAGTTAATTCAACTATATTAAAAGTTAATCCAATGTGTGGCGTCACAACGATAGTAAGACATGTATGTGTGTGTGTGTGTGAGTGAGTGAGTGAGTGAGTGAGTGAGTGAGTGAGTGAGTGAGTGAGTGAGTGAGTGAGTGAGTGAGTGAGTGAGTGAGTGAGTGAGTGAGTGAGTGAGTGAGTGAGTGAGTGATGAGCAAGGCCAGTGAATGAGAAGGAAAGCATTCACTTCAAAGTTCCATTGTTGTGCGATAGTGCATTTTGAACAAATGGACTAAACAGTAAGGACGTAAAAACTGACAAATTTCTGTCCAACTTAGCCTTATATTGGGAGTATTAGAAGTGCTGGTTGGTGAACTCTTATGGTTCATGTGCCCAACTTTGTTTTGTGAAACACCACCCTAAAATATTGAGCACCGCCATGTGTTTACGTAAGTAAGATACGACACCATGTACATCTGTGTACACAAAGCTTCGTTTATTGGAACGATGTGGATATATTTGTATTTTGTTTAATTTGCATATAATTATAATAATAATTAAAATCATACAATCACCCGCATTCAGATGGAGTCCAAAACAGCGTTGCCATGGCTAACACATGTGCAAAAGTATCTGTTTTAAATTTGCCTAACTATTCGAAAGTTCAAAGAAAAACTTGCCAGACTGGGGTTAACGCTATGGGAGGAAATCACATTGTTTCCTTGAAAACATGTTCAGGTAACCAGCTCTTTATTTGTTTTTTGTCATTCACTGCGCTGTGAGCTTTAGCTCAACACAATATCAGAAGTTCGTAGTACGTACCACAAATTGCTTGCATATTCCCCAACTTTTACTCTTTGCAAGCGAATTACCACGGACATATTTAGAACATACTTTATGCAAGAATCACCTAACTTAAAATAAACATTGATCTAGCCCTGTCTACTCACAGTCTATATTGCATTGTTGGCACGAAAGACCAGATTTTTTTTTTCGAATTGCTGCTGCGTTGTAGACGACGTCACAAAATGTTAGGCTCGTTCAAGGCTGGTCTAATACGCGCATGTCACGTGCATGGTAACTATTAATACAATGACCAGATGTTTGTATACTGTAAAATACATTATTGTCGCTTGGAATTAATTTTTCGCAATTTTCGCTGAAGGAATAATTCAGTGAATATACCTTTGTTCTTATATTTCACATTCAACTCATCAAAAATCAGTGAAAATAAATTCCATACAAAACACCCAAAATGTCTTTTCAGAACAAAATAATTCCAGTATTTTACAGTAATACCATCGTTAATGTAAAAATCAGCCATAAATAAAATATAAAGTCAACTGTGAGCGTTATAAAAAGTAAATAAACATTGTAATACAACCAGTCGATACCATTTTTTATGAGTTGAAGGATATATTAGCACATTCATAAACGTACGTACACTGTAACGCCGTGCATAGACGCACCTCATTCTACGGGCCATTTACCACCACACTCCCATAGTACAACAAAGTACCATAATTGTTATTACAAGTTGCGTCAGCCATTACAAAGTATCGTAATTGTTATTGTAATTTGTGCCATTCATTACAAAGAACTGTAATCGTAACAATATATGTCAGTCATTACAAAGTACAGCAACCGTTATTACAATTTGCTCAGTCGTAATT